TAAAGAACTGCTCACTTCCAGGTTAACATTTAACTAGCCTGTGCTGAGCTTTTAATAAATTCTAAGTCACGTATGGAGCTCCTGACTCGTGACCCCAGGATATGAGTGGAGACTGTGTGAATCCAGACCCTGGCTCTAAGGCCAGAGAAAGAGACACAGCGGTGGGACTGTAGGTGAATAAGTATGTGGGTTTCACTTATATGTGGAATCTGAAAAAAATAAACAAAAAACAGAAACAAACTTAGAAATATAGAGAACAAAATAAACAACAACAAAAATAAACTTAGAAATATAGAGAACAATTTCATGGTTGGCAGATGGGAGGGGGATTAGAGGAATTGCTTAAAAAGGGGGAAGGAATTGAGGTATGCAAATTGGTGGTTACAAAATTGTCACAGGATATAAAGTATAGCATAGGGAATACAGTCAATAATATTGTAATAACTGTGGAAGATGAGACCTGATCTGTAATAATCCAATCCTGGCAATTTTCACCTCTACCTCCCGTTCCAAACTATGTGTTTCTGCTTACAATTTCTCCTGACTCCCACCCCAAACAACTTTTTTCTTAACATAGATTTATGTGACCAATAGCCTTTACGTGACACCCTAAATAATATACTATAGAACTATATGGATGATATTTTCCCCTCTCAAGAACTTGAAGACTCAACTTAGGAGACTATTATGTAACAGAAAATTAAACCCAAACTGTGGTCCTATCAGAAACCTTGGAGACAGGCAGGGAGCTGATTTTGGTTTGGATACACTGATTTTCCTGTTCCTTGTTCCCACAACACCTCGGATCGGATTGCGGGGTGAGTGCCTTGATCCCAGGGTAGGTGCAGTGAAGGGATGTAATGAGCCTATTAAGTTCTGCTAATGTCCTGGAAAGGCATTCAGCTGAGAATGGCAGGGATATCAGTTCCCACCTTGGACCTGCCACGGGGAGCATTACATGTGCACATGCTGCTTCTGGTCCCCACAGTAGGAGTCATCTGAGAAAGCAGGTATGACCTGAGTTTCTAGAGTGTGTGCGCCTAGGATTGCACTTTACCACTCGCCACATCCTAGAGCCTCCCCTCTGCACTTGGGGGCTCAGACTGCAGAAATCACAGCTTTATCACTCCTACTCTAGATATACTCATCCACTTAGTACTAAAATGATCAATTGTTTAGTTGACTAACAGTAAATATAGTGCATCTGGCTGGCACAGAGAGTTGTTTGTTTTTTGGTGTTTTTTTTTGGGGGGGGGGGGGAGCTGTTCTTTTTTTTTTTTTTTTTTTTTTTTTTTTTCTTTCTTTCTTTTCTTAAGGGAAAAAAGATTGTATGGCTTATTTCTCCAGAAGTCTGAGAAACCAAGGAACCAGATTCACCCATTGTTATGACAGATATTTACTCAAGCACTTCCTTTGTTCTGGCACTTTGGGGAGCTGGCAGAAACCATGTCCTTTCTCTGAAAAGCCGATGGTCTCAGTGTGTCTGACCTGCCAGTTTGGGAATTGTATGGGATGGGAGGTCATGCTGGGCAGGGGGTAGGCTAGCATAAAGACAAAGAAATGATTAAGGAAATGGGGATAAGGAAACAATTGGGTGGAATAAATGAAAAGACTGGAGAAAAGTCAGGGAAATGAGAGGCTAAGGTATTAGATGGAATACCCACACAGACATTGTCATCACTAGCTCCCTGCTCATGGCATGTAGGCTGTGAGAGACCTTCCTGTACATTTTAACCAAAGAATGTGCCCAGAGTGGTAGGTATTGTACTTCTCTAACATTTTTACATTCATAGAGAAGCTTGTAAGCGGTTCACGTTTTAAAATCAGATTGCTACTTTTGGACTTGAATCATGCCTGGATGGTATTTCTGAACATGACTGTGCATAAGAAGGTCTGGAAGAGTCTGTTTTGGACAGATGCCTGGGCTTATCCACAGAGAGTCCAACTGAGCTTGGTAGGTCACAGAATCCACGTTTAAAGAGTGCCCTTCTGGTGATTCTGAACATATCCAGGTTTGATAGCCATCAGGTTAAATCATATTATAGAGCTTTAAGTGAAACCATATCATAAGTCACCTTAAGTGAAACCTTATTTCAGATTGCCTTAAATGAAAGTAACGTATTAGCATAAGCTATTTCAGACGTAGGATTATTTGAAAAGATAACAAAGTGGTGCTAAATTTCAGAATGAGTAAAATCTCAACTTGTGCTAGCAGGAACTTTTAGATAGCACACTGGGTTTCTTTCTATTTTCTTTCTCCTGGTGTATGAATAAACAGTGTTATTCTGCACCTGACCCTGTAGTGACTTAGAAGTCACATCATCACATTTTGGGAAAACTATGTATTTAGAATCTATGCCTACTTTATTTTTAGGTGGAAAGTCCACTTTTTCTTTTTAAATAGTCATTTTTTTCTTTCTGAATTTAGTAGTAAATACACGCCTTTGCCACATTAAGCTCTTTTTTTGCATGGTTCTTTATGAACCTGTCTTATCCTCTTCATCTCTAGAGGAACTATATCTCAGTTGTCTTTATATTTCTAAAGTCCTAGCATAGTGACTTATTAAAATAAATATTTCATGAAAAAATGAAAATGAGATTGAAGTTAGAAGTGACACATTAAACTAATTGTTTCCTCTCTGATCTCTGTATTATTCTTTAAGCATCTTTAGCTTCTGGGGCAAATAGTGGGTATAATGATATGTAGCATTAATAAAAAATAAAACTATGCTCAGAGATTTACAGAAGCTCATAAAGTGTCACATCCAGAGCAATTCATTTTTTTCCCAGCAAGCCCTCATAAATCCAGGCCACGGAGTCAGTCTGCTGATCTGGCCACATCCAGGACTCTTCCTTCCCGGCTGGGCTCCTGGGGCCTCTCCTCGCCTGGCAAACACTAACTGGCTCTCACTGCATGCAGGTCTGAAAAAGGTAGTAAGAGCCTAGCACCTGGGTACCCAGGCTTTCAACTGCAGAGTGTTCGGAGGTGTGCTGCAGTGCTCTGGTAGATACTGTTTTGATTAACCTTGAGTGCACTAGACATTTTCCTAGTTCCATAAAGTCATTCATATACTGGCCACCAGACACTGTGAGCCTATGTGATAGAGTATGACATTAATTTAGAAATCTGACATCAAGGAGTTCATGGTCCAGTTGGAGAACAAAATAAATATAAATGATAAATGTTATGATGGAAGAGGTGTACTCTGCAGACCATACAGAAGAGGCCATTGATGAAGAACTGGGAAATCAGGAAAGGCTTCCTGCAGGAAGTGGCATCTGAGCTATGAGGTGAAGGATGAGTCTGCACTGTCTGGTTGCAGTGGTAAGAGGGCTCTGATTCTGGTGAAGGAACAGCAGAAGGTGCAGGGATGCAGGGAGCATTTGGGGGACTGCGTGTGCTTTCATGTGGCTGGAGGATAGGAGCCAGGTGAGAAGAGAGACTTTACTCCATATACTAGTGAGTGAGTTTGAACTTGATACTTCTTGAAATAATGGGATCTATCAAAGGGTGTGGGGCAGAATATGCAATATTGAGAGATTAACCATAGAAGCATGAGGTTGTAAACCCCTTATACTATCTTTTTGGAAAATTGCACCTGGAACCAGAGAAAAATTTATCATAGCTACCGATGATCACTTATAAATCCAGAATGAATGTTAAAACCCTAACAAACTAAATGAGAAGATACTCAAAGTTCCTGAAACTATTCATGCATCTGCATATTAGGGGGTGGCATATACTTGGTTCTGTTTATAGGTAAGGGGCTGTTATTCAATAATGTTTTTAAGAAAAGAGGACCCTGACAATCTTAGTCTGTCAGAGACAAGGTCACCTTATTCAAGTGACATAAAAGCCATTTGAGTAGGCTGAAAGTGTTTTCCCAAAACTGGTTCCAGAGTTTCTTCCCTAATGGCTTCTATGAATTTAGGCTGAAGTGCTCTAATGGTTCATTTGGGAAGGGCAGTAAAACCTGAGAGTGGAGGACCAGGGTAGCAGGCACAGCATGGCTGTTCTCTGGTCGAGGAGCACTGCTTCCAATATTTGTTCCAGGAGAATTTTGAAAATTCTATAAGCTATTCCTCAAAGTAGTTATCATGAAACTACTGGAAGAGGGTGTGTTTTGTTCCCTTTTAGGGATTTAAGGATCTCACCAAAGCACTGAAGACTGGTCCAGATCTTTAAATCAACCACCTTCACCCCTGGAATAATATAAAGTAACTAGAGAATTATAGCATCGTCCTATATTTTCATCCTAAGGAAAATTAGAATCTCTGCACCTTTAAAATAAACTTGCATTATACACCTTTTTTGTTTCTTATTTTATAGAGTCTTTACAGTCATCCCAGATGTTCCCAGATGAAAATTAGTGTAAATTATAATTATTATTACTACCTTAAGACAATTTAAATGCCCCTTATGACATGATGGAGCAATACTTACATGCTTAGATATGATATGCAAAAGAAATTAAGAGTCTGAGTTTTTGAATGAGAGAGACCTGGCTAAGAGCCCAGTTCTTTCATTTCCTATCTCTGATCCTGGGCTAAGTTACTTAACTTCTTTAAACCTTGGCTTTCTGATCTAGAAATTGGAGGTGTTCATGGTCATTGTCTCAGATTCACTGAGAATTTAATAAGATTGTGAGCAATGAGGGGCCAGTACATTATTTCAACTCTATTTAGCATTCTTTTTTTAATATATATATTTTTTTATTAATTTTCCACAGAGAGGAAGAGAGAGGGATAGAGAGTTAGAAACATCGATGAGAGAGAATCATTGATCAGCTGCCTCTTGCACACCCCCTACTGGGGATGTGCCCCCAACCCAGGTACATGCCCTTGACCGGAATCGAACCTGTGACCTTTCAGTCCGCAGGCCGATGCTGTATCCACTGAGCCAAACCGGTTTCGGCCCTATTTAACATTCTTGAGCACTTTCTCCTTTAGTTATGTTTGTTTTATTAACAGCAACTTTCTTTTTTCTTTTTACTCCCTAGGGATATGAAGCCTGACAATATTTTGCTTGATGAACATGGTAAGTGAATGATTTGTTTGCAACAAGTTTGCTTCTAACTTGTATATAGAAAAATAATGATTATCCCCAGCTAAGGAGTATTACACATAGAAAAGGTATCTTGCTTGATTGACTTGAGTTACATGTACAAACTCCATTTTGTTTTCTTTTTTTTTTAATAATATATTTTATTGATTTTTTACAGAGAGGAAGAGAGAGAGATAGAGAGCTAGAAACGTCAATGAGAGAGAAACATCGACTAGCTGCCTCCTGCACACCCCCTACCGGGGATATGCCTGCAACCAAGGTACATGCCCTTGACCGGAATCGAACCCGGGAACCTTCAGTTCGCAGACCGATGCTCTACCACTGAGCCAAACTGGTTTCGGCCATTTTTTTTTTAATCCTAGCCCAAGGATATATTTTTATTGCTATTAGAGAGAGGGAGAGGGAGAGGGAGAGGGAGAGGAAGAGGGAGAGGGAGAGGGAGAGGGAGAGAGAGAGGAAGAGAGAGGGAGAGAGAGAGAGGAGAGAGAGAGAGAGAGAGAGAGAGAGAGAGAGAGAGAGAGAGAGAGAGAGAGAGAGAGAGAGAGAAACATTGATGTGAGAGGGAAGTATCTGTTGCCTCACACACACATGCCCCCCAGTAGGAATGGAACCTGGGAGCCTTTGGTGCACAAGAAGATGCTTTAACAACTGATCCACACTGTGCAGGGTACATACTCCATTTTATAAGTGGGAGGGATAATCTGAAAAAACTTTAGTATTTACAGAAGTGGTGTAGTACACCAATATACCCTAAACAACACTGAATTTACATAATGAGAAAGTAACTCTTTTCAATGTCCTTCCACTCCAACTCATTCCTTCAAGAAAACCATTACAGTGTTTTGGTACTGGTTTACCTTATACCTTTATGACCACCTTCTCCCTTTTTTTTTTTTTTTTTAAATAAAGATGAGCAGGTCTCAAACTTAGTGCATTAAGCAGGCAATAGTATTTCCCCCTAAATCTGGAACACTGTTTTGTTGGCATTGCACCCACTTTTATGCTTTCCTTCTTAGGAGGGCAAGTTGGTCTTACATTTGCAGAAGAATGTTGAGTTTTCTGTTAAAAAAAATCAACCAGCCGGAACCGGTTTGGCTCAGTGGTAGAGCGTCGGCCTGTGGACTGAAAGGTCCCGGGTTCGATTCCGGGCAAGGGCATGTACCTTGGTTGCGGGCACATCCCCAGTAGGGGGTGGCAAAGAGGCAGCTGATCGATGATTCTCTCTCATCGATGTTTCTAACTCTCTATCCCTCTATCTTCCTCTCTGTGAAAAATCAATAAAATATATTTTTTTAAAAATCAACCAGGATTCTGGCCAGGTATCTCAATTAGTTAGAGCATCATCCCAATATATCAAGGTTGCAGGTTCAATCAGTGGTCAGGGTAAATATAAGAATCAACCAATGAGTGAATAAATATGTGGAACAACAAAAAATTATCTCTCTCTCTCTCTCTCTCTCTCTCCCCCCCCCCCACTTCTCTCCCTCCCTCCTTCCCTCTTTCTGAAAAAAAAAAAAAATCAGTCGCTTTAAAGAAAAGTATAAAGTAGATGACAATATGTGGTACCCAGATAGAAATGAGATATAGGGATATGGGAAGAACCATGAAGGTTAAAAAAAACGAATGCCAGAAGTTTAAAAAACATTGATTAAAAATGTCCTGTAGAACAAGCTTTTGCTGACAATGATTAAATGTGTCTATTCTCTAATATTTGTTTTTTTCTTTTTTTGTAATATTTTTTATTAAATTATTATTTTTGTACATATACCAATGCCCCCCCTCCCGTACATACCCTCCCTCCCCAGAGTTTTGTGTCCATTGGTTGTACTTATATGCATGTATACAAGTCCTTCAGTTGATCTCTTATCTCCCCCAGATCTCCCCAACCTCCCTGCTGTAATTTGACAGTCTGCTTGTTGCTTTACTGTCTCTATATCTATCTTTTGGTTCTTCAGTTTATAATGTTCTTTATCATCCATAAATAAGTGAGGTCGTGTGGTGTCTCTCTTTCATTGACTGGCTTGTTTCACTCAGCATGATGTTCTCCAATTCCATCCAGGTTGCTGCAAACGATGAGAAATTTTTCTTTTTATTGCAGTATAATATTCCATTGTGTAAATGTTTTTGGATCCAATCATCTGCTGATGGGCAACTAGGCTGTTTTCAAATTCTGGCTATTGTAGATTGTGCTGCTATAAACATAGGGGTGCATATATCCTTTCTAATTGGTGTTTCTAGTTTCTTGGGATATATTCCTAGGAGTGGGATTACTGGGTCAAATGGGAGTTCCATTTTCAGTTTTTTAAGGAAACTCCACACTGTTCTCCACAGTGGTTGCACCAGTCTGCATTCCCACCAGCAGTGCACGAGGGTTCCTTTTTCTCCGCAACCTCGCCAACACTTGTCGTTTGTTGATTTGATGTTGGCCATTCTGACAGGTGTGAGATGGTACCGCATTGTTGTTTTGATTTGCATTTCTCGGATAATTAGTGATTTTGAGCATGTTTTCATGTGCCTCTTGGCCTTTCTTCTGTCTTCTTTTGAGAAGATTCTATTTAGATCCATTGCCCATTTTTTAATTGGGTCATTTATCTTCCTTTTATTAAGTTGTATAAGCTGTCTGTAGATGTTGGAGATAAAACCTTTATCAGTGATAACATTTGCAAATATGTTCTCCCATACAGAGGGCTTTCTTGTTGTTTTGTTGATGGTTTCCTTTGCTGTAAAAAAGCTTTTTATTTTGATGTAGTCCCATTTGTTTATTTTCTCTTTAGCTTCCATTGCCCTAAGGGAAGTATCAGTGAAGAAGTTCTTTTGGCATATGTCTGAGATTTTGCTGCTTGTGGATGCCTCTAGTATTTTTATGGTTTCCCATCTTATGTTTAAGTCCTGTATCAATTTTTAGTTTATTTTTGTGTATGGTGTAAGTTGGTGATCCAGTTTCATTCTTTTGCATGTATCTGTCCAATTTTCCCAACACCATTTATTAAAGAGACTGTCTTGACTCCATTGTATGTTCGTGCCTCCTTTGTCAAATATTAACTGAGCATAGTGATTTGGGTTGATATCTGGGTTTTCAATTCTATTCCATTGATCTATATGTCTGTTCTTGTGCCAGTACCAGGCTGTTTTGAGAACAGTGGCTTTGTAATACAGCTTGAAATCTGGTATTGAGATTCCCTTCTGTCTAATATTTATTTGAATGTACATTTGGATTTATTGGTCCCTCAGAGCAGACTATAAGTTATCTATATTACAGTGGCAATAAGATCTTTGTTCTTTTCAGAAAGCTGCTAGATGAGTCGTGAATCTGCAAAGCTCCTTACTCATGTGACTTTAACAGTTAGGATTTGCAAGTGGGAATGAAATTCCAAGTACCATCCATAGGCTCATTATTTATTTACCTAGTTGCATTTGAACCTGGTTTGCCAGACTCCACCTGTGCTCAGAGAGCTAAGAAACACTTTTGTGTATGACCTCTAATTTTAAGGCTCGGGGTCATTATTTATTTACCGACTCTCTAAAAAGATTTTTCCATTTTCAACGCCTTATTTCTTCCTTCCCTTCACTGCTTCTGACATTTGGGAACAGATTCTCTGGATTTCAGAAATGTGAGCAATGGTGAGACTTAGCATGAAGGTGACTTTTGTTCACACACCAGCTCTCCCTTGTGCACATAAACTTCACAGATATGGAGAGGGCTTCCCCTAGCTTATAGAGGCCACCTTTGCACAATTTAGAAAAAGGTGCTTCTTTGCCCACCACAGTCTCGTGAAAGTGCATGGCTGGCTGGACAAGCAGGACCCAGATTGGGGCTCTGTTCACACCTGTCCTGGTTGTCCTTGTTTACAATATATGGCTCTACCATTCATTAAGGCTCTGAGTGGAGACATACAAGTCCTGTCAACCAAAATCTTGTTCAAGATTTATCTTCCATTTCAAAGAACAGTGTTTTAATCTTAGATTTCAAACATGGTTTCATTCCAATTTTACCATGAAGTCATCTGTCCTCTCGCATTCAACTTATTTCACCTCCTCATGGTTTCTTGCCAGCTTGATGGTGGTAGGTTGGGAGAAAGGTCCAGAAATAAATTAATGTGTACGTTTAACTACTCTCAGAGACTATCCTTGTGAATGATTAATTGTGGATTCTGGAACCAGATCACTGAAGTTCAAAATGAAAGAAGATGTGATACATATATACAATGGAATACTATTGAGTCCTAAAGAAAGATGAAATATTGTCACTTGTGCCAATATGGATGGATCTTGAGAATATCATGCTAAGCAAAATAAGTCAGATGGGAAAAGTCAAAAACCATATGATTTCACCCATATAGGGGATATAAAACTGAAAGCAACAAACAGACAGACAAGACAAAAAAACACACACAAATTCATAGATACAGACAACCATATGGTGGTTACCAGAGGGGAAGGGAGGGGGGATGGAAGAGGGTAAAGGGGTCCAAATATATGGTGACGGAAGGAGACTTGACTTTGGGTAGTTAACACACAATGAAATATATGGATGATGTATTATAGCATTGTACACTTGAAACCTATATCATTTTATTCATCGATTGTCATCCTGATAAATTTAATAAAATAAAAGCAATTCACCCACTCACTTGCTCAGAGAGGGCCAACAGGTTGCCTAAACTTCCTTTGCTACCTTCATTTCTCCAGGGATACAACGAATATTTATTTCTTAGGCTTATTGTAAAAACAGACTGACATCTATACTAATAAAAGGTCAATATGCTAATTAGACCAGGAGACCTTCTGGACATCCTTCTGGACAAAGCCATGGTGGTGGGGCCCAGGCAGAGGCAGTTAAAGGCCATCAGGCCAGGAGGGGAGGACAGTTGGGGGCAAGAAGGTCAACAGACAGAGTGGATAGGGATTTTCTGTATTATGTTTCATTCTGAACTCCATTTGAAAATCTCTTAAATTAGTAAGAGAAACATTGCTTAAGAATTAGATATGTAAATGGATAAAAGCAAACAAACAAAGAACATTGAGAGCTCTTCTCTAAATATTGCTTTGGGGTCCCTTTCTATTAAGGAAATGTTAAAGTTATTTACTTTCTATTTATTCAAATTCTGAAAAACGAAGGCTTTCAGGCATTTCCCAGGGACCATAATGAACCACTTTTAAATAAACCAATTCCTGGTAATCTCAACCCTGAGCTCAGCATGTGGAATTGCTCTTGGAAGAACCCACTGAACTGCAAATCAATGCCTGCCTTTTGGAGGGTCTTCTGGTGTGATTTTCCATGTTTCGTTTATCCTCTCCGTTCATATATATATTTCACCCCAGACAGGCCATTACATGCACCTCTTACCCAGGGATTTCAGCAGTTGGGAAGGATAATTGCCCTTTTCTGATCTGCCTCCTATGCCCATTCCTCTAAATGAGCTGTGTATGATACTGCATTGCTTATATATATTCATTCAGCACCAAGCAGAAACTTTGTTTTATTCTTACTGATTCATCTTGGTTCATAATCATCAGAAAAGGTTGATATTTAAAGGAGCAAAATCCTTTCATAGAGTGGAGAACCTTTCCATGGTGTGAATAAACATTGCACATTAGAATTTGACTTTAAATGTGTTTTAATTTAGTGGATACCTGCTGTTTTCCCCCAATGTCTTACTCACTAGTTTAGAGCCCAAGAAGGCATTAGACATTGGATAGCCCCTAACCAGTTGTCCTGATATATATTTTTTCATATCCTACCAATTTAAGTACTCCATCCAATTCCATCAATTTCATAGTGTCTAAAATTCTCGTGTTTTTAAGTTATTTGAGAAATAAATGCTCCGTTGGGAAGAACAATACTGTCTGCCCGGTATATCTGTCAAAATAAAATTGCGGCATCATCCATAATATAGTTTTCTTAATATCATCCATACAACTGGGGAACAGAGAAAGGCAAAAACTTAGTCTGTGGCTGTGAAAAAGAACTAACTTGCTATCTTAATAGCTCCCCCGTTGCAGATCCCCAAAATGTGCTTAAAATCAAGTGGGCATCATATGGACACACACACACACACACACACACACACACACACACACTACTTTATGTAACTCTGGAGTTTCTGATGATGACAAACAGCAATTGAACACTTATTTCCTGCCAAATGCTGAGCTGTCACCCACAGACATTATTTCATTTGATCTTTCCAACCATCTCATGAGAAGACTATTGTCATCATCCCATCTTTACAGAGAGATCATCCACCTAAGATGACACAGCCTATTAGTGATAGAAACTGGTCTTAAAGCCAAATAGTCTGACCCCAGAGAACAGGCTCTTCACCACAGCATCTCAAAGCTTGTGAACCACTGATGCAGTGCTCTGAGCATGACCCCTAGGGAAACAGAGAGAACAGACACCACCTATACTATGATATGGTGAGTTATCGAAGTCACTTACTGGTACCACTCAGGCAAGGTAACCTTTACTTTTAGCTAGACGAGTGCTACTTTGTCTTAAAATGGAATCACATAAGCAAACACAAACCCTGTGGGTATAAAACAAACCTTGGCAACAAAGGCAGTGACATTTATCTTTAGCAGCACGCTGGATGCCATCAAAGAGCAGATAGTCAAGTGTGGCAGGAGTAGGATGGACGGAGAGACCTGGACAAAGAGTCCGATGACATGGTCTCCAATTACAGCTCCTTGAAACCACGGACGCATGGAAATGAAAATGCCAACACCTCCAGATCCTCTGACAGCACATGGCTTTCATGCCAACAGCTAACATAACAAGCTTATCTGCCTGAGCTCCTGGGGCTGCCCCTTTCTTCCTTCTCTCTGTCTGTCGGTGCAAAGACTCCAATGCACTTTGCAGATGCACTCCCTGCTGGATTTAAGTGTTAGACCCAATAGCAATGGCACGAATGGTAGAGCTGAGAGAGACCCGGGAAATCATCTAGTCCACCCACTCCATTTTTTATGAAGAGAGTCTTAGGTTCAATACAGGAATGGGATTTAAAGTCTCAATGTGTTAGGGGCAGAGGTTAGGGGCAGAGGACCCTCCTGGGTCCCAGTCTAGAACTCTTCATACAGCCTCTTTGTAAATATAGCTGAATTGTTCCCCCTGCTTTCTTGTGGTGAGTTATTTTGTTGGGCACCATTAGGGGGCATTCTGACTTAACAGACAATAAAACTACTAATGTTGTTTCAGAGAAAAAAACAAGGATACAACAGGGTTCTTTCCTAGCAAAGAAATAGATATACCAAGTCCTATGTCATCAGGAGATTCTTGGAAACTGTGATTTTAAGCAAAATGACATATAAGGAACCCAATTTTCCCATTGGCTAATTGATATAAAGAAGAGTTAAGTTCTATAGCATGTTCTGGTCACAAAAGCATCACCACATCTAATTGACTTGGCTCAGTGGATAGAGCGTCGGTCTGCAGACTGAAAGGTCCCAGGTTCAATTCTGGTCAAAGGCATGTGCTTTGGTTGCGGGGACATCCCCATCCCCAGTAGGACGTGTGCAAGAGGCAGCTGATTGATGTTTCTCTCTCATCGATGTTTCTAACTCTCCCTCTTTCTTCCTCTCTGTAAAAAATTAAAAAAATATATTTTTAAAAGAAAGCATCACCAAATGTTTTAAATAAAGACCCAAACACTTCTAATATTAAAACTGAAGTAAAGATGATATATATACATATATATATATATATATATATATATATATATATATATGAATAAAAATAAGTAAGAGAATGATTTTTCAACCCACTTACTTCAGTTTAGGGACCCGGATGGCTAGAATCTGTCCAGGCAGCTCAAGGACAAAGTGGGAATCAACCCTGGATAGGACTCCCCTCCATCACAGGGACACACACACACACACAGTCACACATATGCTGGGACAATGTAGACATGCCAATTCACCTCATGTGCACATCTTTAGGATGCAGACATGGGGAGAACATGCAAACTCCATGAAGACAGTAGCTCCTGCTGGGAATCAATCTTATAACAAAACAACTTTGAACAAAGCAGCACTATTCGAAGATCTGCTGTATTTCCATTCATATGTGCTTTATAGTAACAATGTTTCTCTCTTTTAAAAAGATCCCATAAGAGACCATAGCTCTTGGTTCCCTGTTGATACTCACAGGTTATACCAACTTAAAATGCAGTTTTTACTGCCCAAGTAGAATTATTAGAGCATGAGTTCTTAAAAAAACCCCTCCCCACCCCGTCCCCAAGCGAACACTTTTGAAGCAGAACTGCAGACTTACAGTCAGATACTCATCTTTGTGGACCATGTTCTGGCTCCCAGTTTGCTAGAGGGTTTGCTGGTTGAAGAGCATATTGAATTGAGGACAGACTGTTTGAGCTTTTACTGCTGGTGCCCAAAGCACAGAAGAAATTACAGACTAAGCTTTCAGTTAGAAACATGGGTGTGCCATTGAGTTGAATGGACTTAACTTTCTCTGTGGTCCTTCTCTCCCGCCAGGGCACGTGCACATCACAGACTTCAACATCGCCGCCATGCTGCAGAGGGAGACGCAGATCACCACCATGGCCGGCACTAAGCCTTACATGGGTATGGGCTTCGGGGGCAGCTGTCTGGACTCAGGGCAAGGCATTTGCTTTCCATTCCTGTAGAAACCATTTATTACGCCCCAATCATCTGTAGGGACTTGCAGCTGGAGATGACAAGCCCCCCTCTGACTACCTGGGGAGCTTCTGATTTCATGGGTCTCCGGTGAGCCTTGGGATTCTCCATTTAGGATGCACCCCAGCGGAGGTTGAGTCAGGAGGGCCACTGATGATCTTTGGAGAACACTATTTTATAGCGTTATTTAGGATGCCGTCTGCCCACTCCCTGACAAACAGTATTAATTCATTAATTTCTACTAACTGCCTCTGGGTGCTCGGTGCTGTATCAGGTGCTGGGGACGCTGGAATGAGCAACACAGACCAAGTCTCCAGCCCATGGAGCTTACTTTCTGGTGAGATGGGTTTAAGCATAGGAGCAATCAGAGAAGTAGGCACAGACATAAGTAGAATGCTCACAAGTGACAAGTGTTATGATAACCACTGTTTACATAATACGGCATTACATGTAGGGGCCTGTAAAGTATAGAGTGCCTTCCAGTTATAATTGTAGTTTTCACTTTATCACAATGCCATGAATCCTTTTTTTTTTAAAGATGAGAAACTGGGTTTTTCCTTAATATTTAAAATTTACCCAGAGTGAACGGATGAGAAAAAATTAAAATGACATGCTTTTACCTTAATTAGTTGTGATGATTACAGTGGATGATGTCACTGGTTAAACTGATGGGATTAAATTAAGTCGGGGGGTGGCATGAATTGTACTGGCTAGATGCCATCAGAGGAATCCACAGGCCAGATATCTGCACTTGCAATCAAGGGCAAGGACAATGCCACTTTCTTTTGATAGTTCATTCTTTTCCTCAGGCAGCTGAAGAGAGAAAGGGAAAGAGAATCCCGCTTCATGCAGGACTGCCTCACTTTCTAAGAGAAAGAAATCTATGGCAGAAAATGAGCTTCATTTTCTCCGATGCTTGAATTGCAAATGTGCTGGCTTCCAATGATCAGTGGAGGGAATAAATCAATTTTGTCTTTTCTGAAGTAATGGACACATATAATTCAGCCTGTTTTCTGCCAAACGCCCACGGTACTCAAATGATACAAAGAACTATCCACGCCTGCTGGTCTGATGGGTTTAATTCTGCAGGTTACCTGGGTTTCATTCCATATCAAGGACTATTTTCTTGGAGCCAAGCCAGAAAATGTGCATCTGGGTTTTCTAGGCCTGGTTTCCATGGTGAGAGAAGGAGAGGGAGGCCACCTTTATTTTCTCTCCCCAGTAATTTTCAATTCAAGATCCATATAATTTAATTCTCCTCGAAATTGGCATGTCTAGTCTTTTCACCACATGGAGCTTAGAAATTGGAATTAGGACAAGGTTCTCCGTGCCTCTCCATCTTCACGCTTATAATTAACAATTACTAACATTTACTGAAAGCCTTCTGTGGGCCAGATGATGTGTTAAATGTTTTGCATTCATTTACTCATTCACTTTTTTCCTCAACCATTGTATACGACAGGTTATAATTATCTGCATTTTACAATGAGGAAAACAAAGAAGCTTAAGTGATTTGCCCGAGATCACATGGCTAGTAATTGAAAATGGCCTAGATTAAATAAGCTCTGTCTGACTTTAGACAATCAAGTTTCTTCCTGAAAGAGAAAAATTGTTAATGTTATTTGTGGTTCTTAAATGGTTGTAAGCCAATTTAAGTAGGCCAAATGGTTAGAATGGCTTCTTGTTTCTCTGTCCAGAAGTTGCCCTTGGCTTTGATTTTTGGATGAGAGTCTCCCTTAAGAAGTACTATGGGTGGCCGAAACTGGTTTGGCTCAGTGGTAGAGTATTGGTCTGCGGACTGAAAGGTCCCGGGTTCGATTCCGGTCAAGGGCATGTACGTTGGCTGCGGGCACATCACCGGTGGGGGATGTGCAGGAGGCGGCTGGTCTATGTTTCTCTCTCATCGATGTTTCTGGCTCTCTATCTCTCTCCCTTTCTCTCTGTAAAAAATTAATAAGATATTAAAAAAAAAAGAAGTACTATGGGTGGAAATCATCTTTCTTTAGGAAAAAAAAATGTGTTACCAAAACTTGGTAAAAATCTACTTAATAGACCTTCACCAGCACTCATTTTATAGCACTCCAATAGGATATTAGTTAGCAATTAACCAGGAAAAAAATCTGAAAAGAAAACTTGGATTCAACACTGAATGAAGATTATAGGAATATAGTACAGCTCTTTATATGAGATGCAGAACAAATAATGAAGCAATTCCTTGGCTCTGGAAATGAGAAGATAAGCAGCTGCCAGTTCTTAACCATTTTTCATTCATAATCTTTTAAGTCCATACTTTCTCCAATCACTCCAATCCTTCCTTCTCCCTACTCCTACGTCTGGGCAACTATAATCCAGATCACTTAGAGTTTAAATTAAAACCTTCTTCCCTTTCAAAAACAAACAAATTCACTATGGAAACTGTGTACCTTGCAGATAAGCAAAGAGGACATTAAATTAATCCCTCTACTTACAGATAGTTAAGGTTTCCTTCCAGATATTTTATCCATGTGCACACACAGACATCCCTTTTTACAGTTGGGTTATACTGAATTTCTATAACCTAAATTTTCACTGTATAATGTAACCACAATAATAACAGACATCATAAACTGAGCATTTATTATGGCCCAAGCAGTTTGCTAAGTTTTTAACATTTTGTGTCATTAAATTCTCAAAGCAACCCTATAGAATAGGTGTATTCTGATTTCACAGATTTACACCTACACACACAAACACACACTCACATTCACACACAAAAAAACAAACAAAACCCAACAAAAAACAAACAAACCAAAAAAACACACACAGGTCTAGGGAGAAACTGGCCTGGTCAGAATCACACAGCAAGGACTGGTGGAGCACCAAGTTAAACCCAAGTCTAAATACATCTTGAGCATTGATGGCAATGGAGGTGTAATGTCTCACAACTACTGAGCTCTTCCTATGTGCCCGACATTGTTCTAAGTATGTGTATCATGTAATTTAAACTAGATGAGGCAGGCACTACTGCTGTTCCCACTTGAGACTTGCAGAATGAGAAGTTAAGCTCTGCCCAAGAGGAGCTATAGATAGAGCCCTCAGGGTCTGATGTCAGAATCTACTCTCCAGTTGGTTTAAAATCTGGAAACCAAATGATGGAAATCCAAATAGCTAATAAACACATTAAAATATGGGCAATCAGGAGACTGTTCATTTTAACCACAATGAAAGACAACTAGACACTCACAAGACTGGCAAAACTCAAAATCTAAGTTAATACCAAGTGTGAATAAGGAGGTTGACTAAAGGAAGTCTGGTGCCTTGCTGGCCATCGTGTTAATTGGCACAACCACTTTGGTAAATATCGATAGTTCCATGTGATCTAGTGTATGTGAAAACATCCATTCCATGCCCAGCGGCTCTCCTGGTAGGAATGTACTTACAGAAATCTTCCATGTACAGGAGAGTCATGAAAGGGTTGTTCAAATACTCTCAAATTGAAAATAATCCAAATAGCTATCAACTATAGAATAGGCAGGTAAATTATGTGATCAGACTGTAAGCAAACTGACACCATGTGCAGCAATTTTGATAATGTAATCTTGAGCAAGTAAAGCAAGACACCTAAGAAAGCAGGGACATATACTTACGTTATATAGACAGGGGAGGGCAAAAATATATTTACAGTTATAATACAAATAAATAATGTGATAATTAATAATAATACAAGAATAATCTCGTGTTTAGTGTACTCACAACTGTAGACCTACTTTTGCCCACACATACACAAACACACACACACACACACACACACACACACACACACACACACACAACATATAGGCAAAACTGAAGTATTGCTTAGAAATGCCTGTAAAGAGAGTAAATCTTTGTAGAAAGGGAACAAAATTACTAAAATAAATTCAAGAATGTGGTTACTTCTAGGATTGTGAATAGGACAGGAATGAAGGTGGGCTCAAGATTCTATTATGTGACCTGTGTAAGGGTCCCCCGGCTATTTTCTTTTAACTACTCATTAAGTTGCTCTTATGGGTTTTAATCCTTTTTCTGAACATAGGTTAAAATACTTTAAAAACCAAACAAAACACCCAGTGGCTGTTTGAGGGGAGTTTTGTCCCTCTTCACCTCTGTCTGTACCCTCTCAGGTGCAGGGGGTCCTCTGGCAGGGTTGAAAAGAGCCCCCATTATCTCTTTGTCTGGCTTTTCAGCTCTTTGCCCATCCATTGCCCATCCATTGTGCTTTTACATGTAGGCCTGATGTGTTTTTCTTCATGTTTTACCAAAATTCTTCAGTGCCATGAATATTTGTTAAATGAATGAACACATATTCAAATGTCCCCATGCTGGAAAACAGAATAAGTGGAAAAGAAAAAAAAAATGCTCATATAAACTCCAAAGATGATCCAAGATGACAGGATTCACAGCTTTTATTGAGTAATGCCATTCTGATGGATATTTTCTTAACACGATGGTCTGTTTACTCCTCAAAGTTCTCTGCAGCTTCTCTAAAGGAGATGTTCGTCACCCTGGGGACTATCTGAGATGACTTGTGAGATACTGAGAAAGGAAAGTAGAACTATAGGCCACTCCATCCAGTCTGTGGGGTGCCATGGGGTCAGGGCCATTACCTCCCAAATAGCACAGGGACCTGTGACTTACGGAAAGGATGCAGTGATGCGTGAACGGTGAATCCTGTGGGTAAGAGGCCTGCTCAGTCCTGTTACGGCGGGCTCGTGCAGTCAGGCTCAGTCCTGGATGTCAGCATTCTACCTCTAACTGCATGCTCTCCATAAGATTTTACTTAGAACTGAGGGCACTGGGAAGGGCAAATCAGACCCACAACCCAACAATATTCTTTGTTCAGAGTCGGCACCTCAATACAAAGAATGGGTCCAGTGTGTATAGCTATTAGTTAGGTAAAATTCCCATTATTATAGATGTTTGCCTCTCTAAAAGAGTGCCTAATTTTTTTAAATTATCATCTGAGGATATGTTTATAGATTTTAGAGAGAGGGAGGAGTGGAGAGAGAGAGAGAGAGAGAGAGAGAGAGAGAGAGAGAGAGAGAGAGAGAGAGAGAGAGAAGAAGAAGAAGAAGAAGAAGAAGAAGAAGAAGAAGAAGAAGAAGGAGGAGGAGGAGGAGGAGGAGGAGGAGGAGGAGGAGGAGGAGGAGGGGGAAAAGAGAAGAGAAGAGAAACATTAATGTGAGGGAGAAATATGGATATGAGAGAGAAACATCAATCTTATTTCCCTTATGAGCCTAACTGGGGATAAAACCCATAATCTAGATGTGTGCCCTGACTGGTAATCAAACCCACAACCTTTTGGTGCATGGGATGATGCTCCAAGCAACTGAGCCAGGGCAAGAAGAGTACCTATTTTGTGAGCACTATCTAGGTGCCAAACACTGAGCTGAGATTTTGGCATGTACTACCTCATTTAATTTCTCACCTCTAGAAAGATTGCCTTCTTATTTAGACTATGCTGGTGATTATTCTCAAGCTCAGCCAACAGATTTGTTCAAGGTCATAATAAGCAATGAAGGCGAGTTTTGAACTGGGCACAGCTCCAGGGCTAATAATTGCAACCATTGCCTGATTAATTGATTCAGTAGCATTCATTCACTCAATTCTCTTGAGTGAATTTAAATGCAAGGCTCAATACTGGGCATTAAGAATGTAGTGGTGAGCAAGCAGATAAGATACCTTCCTTTGCTTTGTGTTTCATTCTCCCTACTCTACCCCTTAGGAGTGAGGGCTATTCTTGGAAAGAGTATGTAGAGTTTAGAAGGTTCACCATGGTCAAAGTGCTTAGAGAATGGGCAATGGGGGCCTTAGAATAAACTGTGCCTCAGTCCATTCAAAGAACGATGCTACATAGAGTAAGTGACTCAGTTTATGTAAAACATTCTCTCTCAGAGTGCCCCCTCCCTCGTTCCTCCCTCCTTCATCCCTATGAGCAAGGTGCAAATGCTTCCCTTGCCCCTTTAAGATAATAGAGATGGAGAGCCAACATGTTTCAGCCCGTTAGCCCTAACCTGCCAAGTCAAGACAACACATATATCTTGGCCTTCTTGGTTTCAGGGTCAGCCACACATTTGAGGCCCGATGGGATCTAATTTTTCATAGTTACAAGTTCTAAATGAGAGAAGAATGTGCCCACGAAGGCCTGAGGCCACCTGTTATGTTGGTTGATGAATGAGGCTCCTGACAGAGACCAGAAAATTAGAAATGTTGCCTGCTGTGAGCAATCGAGCCATGGATGATAGACATTTACACAAGCGTGTCTCCCCTCTGCCCTGGCGTCTCACCTTTGGAGGACCCCCGTTTGGAAAGTAGATTTGTGGGTGTCTCAGGGAGCAGAACAGACCTGACTTTCCTGTGTTTTCAGCTCCCGAGATGTTCAGCTCGCGGAGAGAAGCTGGCTATTCCTTTGCTGTGGACTGGTGGTCTCTGGGAGTGACAGCCTACGAGCTTCTGAGAGGCCGGGTACAGTAGGACTCATTTCTTTTCACTCTCCCAGATATTTACATTTTTAGACAGGAAAGATGGGTGCTTGTGTGTGTGAGTGCTAAAAATCCAGCAGTTTGAGAGGTGGAAATGGCTATGCCATGTTAAGCTGTTAGCAACCCTTGAGGTTTCTGTATTCATTCATTCTCCCAACTATGGGGATCAATCATGAGAGTTCACATCAAATCATGGGTGGTGGGCACACGGTGCAATATTACAGCTCTTATAACATAGAAACTCACACCTGAAAACTAGATGATCATGTTAACCAATGTCACCTCAATCAGTTTAATAAATGAAAACATGAAAATAAAGAAATCAATAAATAATGTCGAGATTATAAGCTCCCATGGAGGGGAAATCCATATGCCTCATTAAATACTTTGTATAAAAATATTTGTTTAAAGAAAAGCATTTTTGCAGACACGGTACAAAAATCTAATTCAGACACACTTCCCCAAGGGGAGTGTTAATTACTAATTCAACATGATCCATGCTCTGTCATGTTGGATTCCTGTCTGTCATTAAGTTCCTGGATTCTGGGTTCAGTGGCAAATTACAGTAGTTTTCTTCTAAAATAAATATTTCTTAAACTAAGAAAATGCCTAGGAAGAATTTTTCTAAGAAAATATTAACTAATAAAGAGAGAATATGCTAATTGACCCTCACGCTATCACAAAAAGTAGCAGCACCCATAGCCAATAAGGAGGGAATATGCTAATTGACTGTCCCTTCCTCAAAGATGGCAGCACCCACAGCCACAAGATAGCAGTATTCAGTCCCCTCAGCCCCATTGAGGCAGCAGGGACACAGCAAGGCCAGACCAACCCCTAGGCAGGCCCATCCGCTCCATGCTCCTACCTTCAGAGTCCCCCAGTCCTTTGAGCCCCCCAGCTGCCCAGGGCTGACCCGAGGTGCAGGCAAGCCTCAGATGGCAGCTGCCCAGCTTCCCAAGGCTGCCTGAAGCTCAGATAATCAGGGGTGGCTTGTGCTGCCAGCAGTAGAGATGTGATGGGGACATCACCTTCCCCTGATCGCTGGGTTGTCTCCCACCCCTAAGGACTCCTGGACTGTGAGAGGGGGTAGGCTGGACATAGGGACCAACCCCCTACAGTGCATGAATTTTAATGCACTGGGCCTCTAGTATTATATAGTCATAAAACATTACTTTCTCCCATCTACATGTTTACCTTTTCCACTTTCATCCATTCTTTATATTCTCATTCTTGTTAATATGCTACCTTAGAATTGTTTGATGTATCCTATCAGGTACACTGTAATTTTTCTTTAGAGCATGAATTACATTTACTGAAGCATGTGTGTGCAGTTTATATAACTATTTGTGGTTTCCCTAGGGAGATGTTAAGCTCCACCAAATTAGAAATTATATCTGTCTTATTATTCTTCATCCACAATGCCCAACAGAGGTGCTGCAACATACTAGGCATTCAATACATATTTGGTAAATGAGGAAATATATAATTGTAGTAGTTAATGAACTAACATTGGTTTTTAAATTTAGAACTAGAAAAATGTCATAGAAGAGAAGGGCAATTTGATTATTTTTTAACAAGTTGATAGGCCATGAGGATTTTTTAAATATGTTTTTATTGATTTCAGAGAGAAAGGGAGAGGGAGGAAGAGATAGAAACATCAATGATGAGAGAGAATCACTGATCAGCTGCCTCCTGCATGCCCCCCACTAAGGATTGAGCCCACAATCTGGGCATATGCCCTTGACTGGAATCAAACCCAGGATCCTTCAGTCTGCAGCCCAATGCCCTATCCACTGAGCCAAACCAGTTAGAGCAGGATTTTTTTTTAAATATTAAAAATCAGTTGTACAGCCTTCTAAGTAAATAAAAACACTGTTAAGCCAGTTGCTTGTGGCATTTATCAGTTAATTATTCACTTATCAAATCTTTTGTGATTTCAGATGGCTAAGAAATAAGTAGGTTGAGAAGGATCAATTAGTCAAAGAAGGAATTTAGAAAAATATTGACATTGCACACATATGTAACTCTGGACCCTACTATGCCAAACATGCCCCGACTCTTAACAGTATACATGGAATGAATCCCAGTAGTGACCCACAGTGCCCTTCACCTAGTCAGCAGTCAGTAAACACTGATAATAGTGATAAGATACCTAGTACTCATTTTCTGATATTGGGTTGCATGGATTATTTCCATTATATGGTTATTGACACCAGAATTAGTATTGGTCCTTATTCCATCTTAAAGGGGAAAAAAACATATGACAGATGTGTTTAGACCTTGCATACAAAAATAACGTTTGGCCAGTCATCTTTTTGGGAGGTCACCTCCTAGCATTTCATGGTTCCCCAAGAATGGACATTGACATGCGAAATATGTTAAGCTTCCCTCCACCTTTAGTCACTGTTCACATTTATGTCCACCTTTTTACCGTGTCAGTAATAATATTTCTCCTATATCATGTATAATATACACTATCCACCCTATTGAGAACTTTACATGTATTATGCCATTCAATTTTCCCAACAATCTCATGAGGTGGTTCCTTTTACAGATGAAAGAATTGAAATCCAAATTGAGTGGCTCCGTTTAGCCCTCATATTATTTTGCCTTCAGAGCTCACTTAATTATATTACCTTTTAATACCGAGTTACAACAGGGAAAAAATAAACTCTTCCACTTCTTCCAATTTGGTTCATCCATCCATAATCCTTTTTTAAGTATCTCGAAAAGGGCAGACCCTTGATACATGTACATGTCCATATTAGCTGTCCTACTGTTGGACAGACCAACATGGAAATTTTGTTCATTCAACAGGCATCTACTAAGTTCTAGGACCCATGGGAAAAATGTGAGTATGGTATAATCTCATTTTATGTGAACTGGAGTTTAGTAGCTCCCAGTTCACATAAAAGAGAAAATGCCAGCCTGGATTTCTTTATGAAATAGAATTACTATAGATAAAGGCTGCCCTCTTCTGGACATTTATGAAAACTGTAATAAAACTACACCCACCCCCACCCCACCCATACACACACAGAGAAGTTAAAATTATAGAAGAACCTGGTTTTCTCAGAAGTAAAAGTACTTTTGCCTCATCATAAAATTTGCCACTCCACTTCATAGGACCAGAGACTCCTGACTTTTGGGAGAGGGTTGAAGTCATCTGGGTAACTTCTGAATGTATTCATTATGATTCAAACAGTTGAAAAGAGGTATGTGGTAAACTCTGAATCTCTTTACAATCAAACTAAATAACAGGAGTTTAAAATGTCAACTTACTGAGCACATGTACAGTGTTTTATAAAAACACACCTATAAGTTATCTTACAAAACTCTTCCAAATTAGTATCTCTGAGGTAGATTTAGCCCACAGAAAGGTTTTGTTTGACCCAGAATGATTTACCAACTTTTAAAAATTTAGATTTCAAAAGAAACTGTAGATATTTCTGGTGTTTTGTTTTGTTTTTAAAGTAGATCTGGCAACACAGGAATGGACCATATATGTATATGCCAACAGGCAACAGAGGGGATAAGAAAATGATACTAAGATTTTCCTGGTTGAAAATTTAACTTGAAACATTTGCAAAGGAATGTGTGATTTTTTCTTTTACGCTGTAAGCATGAAGACTTTTCCTTCCTCTCTCCCTTCAGAGACCGTATCATATTCGCTCCAGTACTTCCAGCAAGGAAATTGCACACATGTTTGAGACGGCTATTGTGCCTTACCCTTCTGCCTGGTCACAGGAAATGGTGTCACTTCTTAGAAAGGTAAGGAGGAGGACTGCATGACAAAAAGAAACACTAAAAAGCAGCATGCTCTCTGGTTAGAGTAAGTGCAGCATATTGGAGGTGGGCCATGATAGGGTACATTTCCGGAGTGGGCTTTGCAGCTAACAGCTTTCAAACGCATGGCTTCATTAAGGCAATGCACATGTCCTCCTGTATGTGCCAAAGCCACCTCAAACTCAGCGGGCCCAAAATGGGTTCTTGGTCTCTCTGTATTTCCTGGTCTTTCTCCAAGCTTCCCAACTCAGTGACTGATTGGCCTCTCCCTCCAATCACTTATGCAAGCCAGAAACCAGAAATCATTCATCGCCCCCATATCCAATCCATCACCATGTACTGTAATTTGACCTTTTAAATATTCTTTGAATCTGTCACTTTCCTCCATCTCCATTACTGTCTCTCCAATCATAATGCCATCAAGCCTTTAATTGGTTTGCCCTTTGCCCTTTTACACACTCCATTCTCCTCTCCATTCTGTCCCATAATGACCTGTTCAAAGCAGACTTTGTTGTCTTCCCATTGTTCATGGAATAAAGATCAAAGTAATGTGTATGATATAAAAGTTCTAACTACTTCTCAAGCCTTATTTTGGACTTTTGTTCCCTTTTGATTGCACATAAGCCACTTTAGTCTTTTTCTCTTCTGTTTCCCTTTCTCCACCTCACTCTCACATATCAGTCTCTCACCACAGGCCCTTTGCACATGCTAGTCCCTCTGCCTAGAACACTGCTCCCCTCCCTAACTCTTCCAATTCCCTCCAGGACCAGGAACATTCAGGTGATCCACTGATTAGTTCAACTCCGTGAATTGTTTCTTCAGGTTCATGACAAGTACACAAATTGAAAGAAACATTTCGAAATATTTTTAGCATTTGATATTGCTACTGCCTCTAAGCACATGGTCCATGGACTCGTCTCATTTGTAGCTAGAGCTCAATAGTGTGTGTCGAATGACAGTGTGTGAAGAATATGGACCCCAAGAGGATGGGTGTGGCTTTTTTCAGGAAAGAAAATTGCACAGGTGATGGCAGGTCAAGGAAAAGGGCCCAAGAGTCAGACCTGTGTCTCTTGCCTTTGGGGTCAAGTTCATTTGTTTTGGAATAGGGACATCGCCATTGGTTATGTCAAAGATGAACAGGTGGTCATTTCCCCTAAGCAAATTTTCTTCAGTTTCAAGACAGCCTCTTCACCCCAAATTTCTACCTTGGTGATCCCAGGTTATCCCCTGCAGGACAATTCTCAGGTGGAATTGCCATTTTCCATCAGAACCACAGGGTTGATGTGGTGTGTTTGGCTTTGGAGTGGTTAAGAGGGAAAATCTCTAATCCCAGTTTATTAAACCCAGAACTATAACAGTTACCTTAGTTACATCTTCTCTGTGTCACCCCCAATATATTTTGGTCAGTTGTAAAAGCACCTAAAAATTTTAGTGAGAAATAAATTTCATTTGTGAAAATGTGCACACATTTCTCCCCTAATAAGAACAGACCTTCTCTTAAGCACTTTATATACATGGCCTCATTTCATCCTAGCTGAAACCTTATGAAATAGGTTACAGTCCCCTTTTCACAGATGGATGAACTGAGATTTAGATAACAAGCTTGCCCATAGTTAATAAAGTAGGGGTATCAACCATTAGAGAGACATTTGACTCCTCAGGACAAGCGATTTTCACTCTTCACCTTGAAAAAAAAAACATCTACAATTCATTCTAACTGGGCATTATCTGTATTATTTGTTTAGGGGGTCAGGGTACGGGAATGATGCCTTATTTCCTTCAGTCTTACATTTGAAAACATTAAGATGGAATTTGTGTGTGTTTTTGGCCCCATTTTGACCTTCCTCATGATCTTAATGTTTCTATTCCTTTGGCAGCTACTTGAACCTGATCCAGACCAGCGGTTTTCTCACTTGTCTGACCTTCAGAACTTCCCATATATGAGTGATGTGAACTGGGATGCGGTTTTACAGAAGAGGATCATTCCTGGTTTCATTCCTAACGTGAGTCAATCCCAACAAACCCATAATAACTCGCATGCAGCGCATATCGTCCTGGGTGCCAGAGATGCACCAGGCCTGGTTAGATAACCACATCAGTGTTGTAAGACAGCCCAAATTCCCATTTTACAGATGAGAACACTGAGGCGGGCACAGGTAACTTGGCCACCAAAGAGTCCCTTGGCTACCGAGTAGCTGAATGGGAATTACAATCCAACTCTGTTTCTGGAGTTCCAGCTTCTAACCACTTTTTGTGGCATGCTCTCCCCCCTGCCCGCCCCCCCCCCCCCAAGAAGATCTAATCCTTATAATTCACAGTCCTCACTTAGTCATAAATAGGCTCTGTGACTTTAAGAGAAGTTGCATAGAATGAAGCCAGTTTTACCATTGGCTGGTTAATAAAAACAAGGGTTGAGTTCCTACATATCTCCTCAACCTTATAATGAAACAAAACCTCAAATACCCCCTGTTGCCCTTTCTTGGAATCTGCCAATTGGAAAAATGATGCTTTCTTTGATTCCAACGGTGTAGGAATTTGTATGTGAGTCAAAGGATTGAAACCTGTTGGGGTTGGGGTGAGGCATTTATTTTTACCATTCCTCCCCCTCATATCCGTAATGACTCAGGGCCAAAGGGAAATAATTCCCACTGGATGAGTCCCTGGCCAGGGGACATCTGTGGCCTACTGCAGACCCCTGGTGAGAGCCAGAATCCAGGTCAACATGCTCAGTGAGACAGCGGTGTGCTGGAATTCCAGGGGTGGAGAATCACAAGCTTATTGAGAGACCAAGGGGTGGGGTCAAGGACTTACCTGGCCACTTTGCCGAGTCCTGTAGGGGTAGCTGGTACCAGGTTGACAGGTGACACTGGGCTCTGCTGCTGCTTCCACAACCAACAACCCACACCAAGGCAAGCAACCATCAGCTCTGCATCAAGAGGCCCTCCCCCTTTATATAAGCTCTGGCTTTATTGTGAATCAGAATCATGTGGGGAGCTTGTGAAACGTGCCATTTTCTAACATGCAGTTGGGGAACTGGGAAGCTGGGCAAACAACTCAAGTGATTCTAATTGTCTGCAGGATCCTTAGAGCATAACGTTGAGACCCAGAACTCAAAAGGTCAAACTTTAGAAAAACAATGGTCATTGGTTTCCTCTCAGTTCAACCCACGGGAGGCTCATTGGGAGTTTAGAAAAATAAACAAAATATAAAATTAATGGATGTGCAAAACAATGCTGATAATACATTATCCAAAATTAGCGTGGGAACCTTAGATCGGTGCCCTTGGAATGCTCCTTTAGGACCACGTGCCTATCTCCACATTCGCTCAGGTGTAGTTTGGGAATGATACAGGGACCTAGGGAGTGTTCCTTGCAGAAAGGGACCTGTGTTTTTAGGGACCTGTGTTCCTTGCAGAAAGGCAGGCTGAATTGCGACCCCACCTTTGAGCTCGAAGAAATGATTTTGGAGTCCAAACCTCTTCATAAGAAGAAGAAGCGTCTGGCAAAGAAGGAGAAGGAGATGCGGAAATGTGATTCCTCTCAGGTGAGCAGGTCCCCCCCTCCCCCAACCCCGGGGGAACCTTCCAGATGGCTGCAACTCCTTGGAGAGCTTCTGCTGGGAGGTCATCTCAGCGCCTGGCTTTTGTGGCCCTGTGAATGTGCCGAGAAGCTGAACAGCGAGGCAGCCCTGGGCACCCTGGCAGCAAAGTTTCCCTGTGGACTTTCTAGCTCTGTCATGAACTTGATTCAGTTAGTACCTTCTCCCAGCTCTCAACTCAAAATGGCCAATTTTCTGGGAGAGACTCTGATCAGCCAAGCTCAGGCCAGGTGACTAGGTTTCAAAGCACAGGCGTGCCTTGTTTTATTTGCCCTTTGCTTTGATGTTGTGTTTTTTACAATTGAAGGTGAAGGTAAGACTCTCCACCAGCAAAATAATAATAATAATAATAATAATAATAATAATAATAAATAAAATAAAAATAAAAAAATACGACTTGCTTTATTGCAATACTCACTTCATTGTAGTGCTCTGAAATAGAACCCACAATATCTCTGAGGTACTAAAAGGTCTGTGTACACATGGCTGTTTAGGGTCTCACTCCTGCTGGGAGCAGCCAGCCCTAAAGGTGGTGTCTGCTCTTTGCTGTAAGCAAAAGTTCATGCTACCAGAATAGAGAGCAGACATGAAGGAATTCTTATATGGTCAAGTACTATTTTGGGATTTTTAGGCTGAGTTGATTTTTTAACCATATTATTCTGTCAGAGTTAGAGCTCAGATCTCAATACAGCATCTTATAGGGACTCAGTAAGATTTTACACCTGTCGATATGCATTATAATGGTGAAGAAATAAACATTCTATGAGCACTTTCCCACAGCACAGACCCCAACCCTTTCTGATATCAAACAAAAGAAAAAAGGCAGTTTCTCCTTCCCCCCGAGTTTCATGTCAACCTTAGAATCACTTACAAGAAGTGGCTCTGCCCACAATGAAAACAGAACATTACATTACTAATCAGAGAAGTTTCCATACTTTTCATCTTCATTTTGTTTTTAACGGGTTTACATTGGTAAGATAAGTTTAACATAAATTTGCCATTTTTAAGTGTGCAATTCAGTGGCATAAAGTACATTTATAATGTTGTACAGCCACCACCACTATTTCAGAAATTGTTACTCCTCCAAGCCCCATTGCTTTTTCAGAGTTCAGCTCTTTCACCTCCTTGTTTAAATTTTTCCTAGGGCTTTTTTTTTTTTTTTTTTTTTTTTTTGGATACTCTGGAAATAGAATTGTTTCCTAAATTTCCTTTTTGTATCATTAATTACTAGTGTATAGGAACAATTGATTTTTTTATGTTAATTTTGTACAGAGCAACTTTGCTGGACTCATTTATTAGCTTTAATAGTTTCTTGTGAGTTCTTTGGGACATATATTTATCTCTCTCTCTCTGTTTCTCTGTCTCTCTGTCTCTCTCTCCATATATATATCCGTGTCATCTGCAGATAGAGATACTTTTCCTTTCCAGTTTGGATGCCTTTATTTTTTTTCTTGCCTAATCACAATGTTGAATAGCAGTGGTGAAAGTGAGCATCTTAGTCTTTCCCCATCTCAGGGAGAAAGATTTTAACTTTTACCATTGAGCACTATGTTAGCTGTGGGATTTTTGTAAATGCCTTTTATCATATTACATTTTACATAACCTTTTATATTTGTATATGTTTATATAAATGTGTTTATATATATATAAATGTTTTATATATGTACTTAATGTGTAAATGCATACATATATATACACATATACATATATAAAATAGATTAAATATTATGTAAATATATTTTTAAATATTATGTAATATTTTGTTTACATATTTATATTTTAGTGTTAAAATTGTACTTGTAGATATAGCTTTTTCTAATTCCTAGATTTTTTAAAAAAGGAATGAATGGCATTTTTTTCTTAGAGGATAATATTTTTCATCAGAAGCAATTTGGAAGTACTTTGTTGCAGACTTTTAAAATATTAGATCTGGGGCTGACACTGTCCTTGGCCCGATGAGTATTATTTTTTTGAGATTCAGTTTTCTCATGATGATGGCCAAGCCATTGGTTCCTGTTGAAAGCTAGACAATGAAACAGCAAAGCAAATGGTTTGCACATCTGTGAGAAGTCACAAATATGGACAGCTCTGTTTGCTGCCCTTGAGGTCTAGATCATGAACCCCCGCACAGTTATTGAGGGGAACATTCAATAGGAATTCAGTATGAAGCGATGTTTCTAGGCTGTTCATTAAATTCAGGTAGAACCTCCAAACCTTTCACATGAGGGCCAGTAACTAGCTCAATAAGCCCTTGTCCTCACCCTCCTTGTAGCCATGGTTTCATCTTGGGCTGCTTGGCTGAAAGACATCAAAGTCATGAATCATAACCCAAGTCTTCCCTGCTGGCTCGTTGTGGGGAGCAATGTGTTGATATATCCTCTTGCTCTTTCTTCCCTATTTGCTGCCCTATTGTTCTGATTGGGGTCTCACTCCTTCTACAAATTTTGAGATAGCATCTGTTTTGAGGATGCATTCTTTGATTGGGCCATTCAGTGAACAGACACTCAATAGGTATTGGCTGTTTGAGGACCTTCATTGATTTACTAACTATATCTCTTTTTTTTTCCCAATGTTCCCCTGGAAGATGTGCCTTCTTCAAGAGCACCTTGATTCTGTGCAAAAGGAATTCATCATTTTCAACAGGGAAAAGTAAGTCAGTAGCTCCTGCAAGAACAGCAGCATAGCAAATGATAGAGTGTTTCAAGCCAGGCTTTACTTGCAAAGCCTTAATATATTTTTAACATTTTTTTAAATTATTTTTAATTATAAAAATGATGCCTATCCATTATAGAACATTTGGGAATTTCAGAAACCTTTTTATTTTTTGTAAGAAATTGCAAATATTGTAGTGGGTAAATGAGCTTCAAGTTTCTGTTGATGGGAAAGGCAGAGAAATTGGGACTTAAACATTTCAAATCTATGATGTTTTTAAAGTTTCCCCAATCTCTTTATAAATTGTTGGGCTTAATGCTATCATTTCAAAGGCTTACCTCTCTTTATTTTCAGTGACTAACTGCCTCTTTCCCCCACCTCCCCCCTTTTTTAAGAGTAAAAAGGGACTTTAATAAAAGACAAGCAAATCTAGCCTTTGAACAGACCAAAGACCCACAAGAAGAAAATGGTCAGAATAACAACCTGTGAGTCATCAACATCTTCTTCTTGGGACATTTCCTGCCACTCAGGCCAGCAAGTTCTGACTTCCACAGCAGGATGGGCTGCCTGCACACTGCACACACCTTAGAAAACGTGAATGCCTACCTTTGAGGGAGGCAGCGTGAAACAATGAGGAGCTCCCTGACTCCTGGGAACTGGTTACACCACTAACAAACCATGTAACTATGAACAAGACACTTAACCACTTTCTCTGCTTCGGTTTATTCTTAATGAGAGGGCTCTACTGGATGAGCGCTCCTCTGTCTTTTTATTGCAACTACTGTTGTCCTAAACGGCCTTTATTTTTATTTCTAAAGGACTATTTGGATTTAGATTTATTTTTCCACTTCTTTAGTTACACTGTGACAGATGGATAAATGGACATAGGTGGGTGATGGAAATGTTTTTTGGGGTAGGAAACTTAAGAGGTCACAATCCCCCAGTCTGATTGAATAGGAATAAGGAATCCAACCAGGAAGGAATGAATTGGACTGAATTAAACTGACTTACCTGGGCCTTCCAGTGCTATGCCAAAGTGACACACCACATCAGCTTATCCCAGCTAGCAAGAGCCTGCTATGCACATCTGTCCCAACACCCTGAAGTTGGGAAGTTGAAATTGGTGATGATGAGGCATTTACACCATGGAAATTGGCCAATGCTACAATTGGCTAAATCACGGAGTTTCCCCGAAACACACACACACACACACACAGCAAGCCATTGTTAGATATTTATGAGCACACCACTTGCCTTCTTCCATTAATAACAATCTTTGAGAGCTCATGATCCTCTTAAGATAATCAGAGACCTACATCTGGAGGGGATCAGGGAAGACTTGTCACATGAATAGCATGTCCACCTTGCAGTACAGTGGTGTCTTACTTGGGAGTTAGTCTCAGTGAGAATGTACCGTGAATTTGAACAGTAAAATTTACCATTGAAAATTCCCCGAGATTACCCATAATGTACGGTGGGTATCTTGTCTTTTTTTTTTTTTTTAATAAATTTTTATTGTTCATATTATTACAAATGTTCCTTCCCTCCCCCACTCCATTGCTCTCCTCCACCAGGTTCCCATCCCACCCTCTGCCCTTTCCCCACCCTCCATTGTCCTCATCCATAGGTGCACAGTTTATGTTCAGTCTCTTTCCACATCCCCCTCTCCCCTTTTCCCCAAGAATCGTCAGTTCACACCCCTTCCATACCTCTGATTCTATTATATTCACCAGTTAATATTGTTCATCAGATTTTTTTTTAATTTCCTTGGTTTTTAGATTCACTTGTTGATAGTTATGTATTTGTTGTTCATAATTTTTATTTTTATTTACTTTCTCTTCTGAAAGAACCCCCTTCAGCAATTCATATAATTCTGGTTTGGTGGTGATGAACTCCTTTAGCTTTTTTTTATTAGTGAAGCTCTTTATCTGGCCTTCGATTCTGAGTGATAGCTTTGCTGGGTAGATTATCTTTGACTATCTTACTATTCATCACCTTGAATATTTCTTGCCATTCCCATCTGGCCTGAATGGTTTCTGTTGAGAAATCAGCTGACAATCATATAGGTGCTCATTTATAGGTAACTACCTGCTTTGCTTTTGCTGCTTTTAATATTCTTTATCTTTTGCTCTTGGAATTTTAATTATGATTTGTCTTGGTGTGGTCCTCTTTGGATTCCTTTTGTTTGGAGTTTCTGTGCGCTTCCTGGACTTGTAAGTCTAATTCTTTCACCAGGTGGGGGAAGTTTTCTGTCACTATTTCTTTCAATATGTTTTCGATATCTTGCTCTCTCTCATCTTCTGGGACCCCCATAATTCTGATGTTGGTTCGCTTGAAGTTGTCCCAGAGGTTTCTTACATATCTTCAATTTTCTGGATTCTCTTGCCTTCTTGCTTCTGCAGAGGAGTGTCTTCTGGCTCTTTATGTTCCAAATCTTTGACTTGATTCTTGCGATCTTCCATTCTGTTTTTAGGACTCTGTATAATATTTTTATTTCAGACAATGTATTCTTTATTTCTTGTTGATCCCTTATCATTTCTCGTTGATTCCTTATTAATTCTAGTTGATCCCTTTTCATATCCTCATAGGTCTTATCGACCTTTTCTAGGAAATTCTTGAAAAACTTTATAAGCGTAGATTTGAACTCAATATCCAGTCGCTTTTTGTCCTCCATTTCTTTCGTTTGTGATCTATTTCATTGTCGCATTTTCGCAGCTTCCCTGATGGGGCGGTGTTTCAGGGTGGAGCCTACAGCCCTTGCTTTCATCAGCCCCACCCTATAAGGCTCCTGAGTCTCAGTAATCCCCAGGGTCCTTCAGTACTCCTTGCAAGCACCTCTGAGAGAAAGGTGCCCTCTATTTTCGCCTGCTACCAAATAGTCTAGGCTTTCCCCCAATGAGCCCGGAACTGGGGTTCAGTTCAGTTGGAAGTGGGATTGGAGGTGGAGTTCAGAGAAGTCTGGAGCCCCAGTCTCCTTCCCGCCAGGGCAATCCCGCGGCACAGCCAACTGTCCCTTCTCTGCACACAATGTGCGCACCTCTGGGACCTCCTTTCGCTGCTCCCCCGGGGTTCTGCCTTACAGCCCAGCTCCCTATGGATGAGCCTGGGTCCCCAGGGTCTGGCCTAGATCTGGGGTTCAAAACAGTCGGAACTGGGGCCCAGCAAGGTCGGAGCTTTTATCTCCTTCCCGCTAGGGAATGCCAGCCAGGCAATCAGCCACTCCTTCTCTCTGGCTCCGTCCTCTCTGTGCGCACGCTGTGTGTCTCCGTATCTCAGGCTTTTACAGCTCCTCCACTCTTCCTTCTGGTTTTCTCCTTGCTTCTCTTTGTAGAATTTCCAGTCAGTCGACTTTCCTGTAGTTCTGGGTAATGTCCATTTTATATTTTAGTTGTGTTTTATTGAAATTGTTGTTCGCGGCTGTGGCTAGGTGCAGCCATCTTGGATTCTCTCTGTATCTTGTCTTTGTGAAGCCAGGACAGTGAGCTGCCCGTCAACAATGAAACAAGTCCCGTTTTTGGTTCATTTTGATTTTGCTGTTTACTTTTATTTTTGGCTGATATCAGATGAATCAAAACATTGAACAAATGAGACATGCATTTATAGAGTAGAATTACACTAAGAATCATGGATGCGTACATGTCTGTGAGGTTAGGGGGTCATGGAACTAAGGGAATGCCTTGTGCTCACTGAAGAATGGCAAGTAGGATCACCTAATTACTTAAAGTATGATTGATGTCTCACTGTTTTCCTTTATATTTTATGAATTTCTAAATCACCAAGTTAATTCACCTACATGAGATGTGCATGTAATGTATCACCACTCCCCTGAAGATCTTTGCAGAGGAACTATTTAGGGCCACCTATAGATGCCACTGCCTAGGGAGTCAAGAAGTGAAGAGTCTTGATGAGGGACTGTTTTAACCTGTCGGCCACCCTTGTCCTTCTTTATGGAGAGTGTGGGCATCACCAAGGTGGTGTTAAGCTGCCATAGGGAAGACCATTTGAGAAACCAGACATGTGGACGTAGGCAGAAGTCCCAGCTGCGGCCACCTGCTACACCAGACTTTTCCAGGAGGGGTTTGCACGAGGGCATCTCGGCATGGGTAGAAGCCAGTGCTGCATTTTAACTTGGCGGTTACAGTAGACTCCTCCTAAGCTGATAGGCCCATCATTTCTGGCGGAGCTGTGCCTGAAACAGTGCCTACCTACTTTCACAGCAACCATCCTTTTGTTAAGCATTAAAACCAGCTCCTTTGTTCTGTGTGTTGGATTCGTTTTCCCTAAATTCTCTACACTGTGTCTATGCTATTTTTGTTTTCCTCTGAACACTATAAATTCTAAGTGCTTGCCCTGACTCAGTTTCACAAGGAGAGGGATGGGTTGACAAGATGACTAGATTCTGCTTCAGGGGGCCAGGGGCCACCGGCACATTTACCAGCTTCCATCTTTTCATTTGTCTTGATTCAAGCCCTGATGTGCTTGGCCTTACTGAGACTCCCTAGTCACTGCTTCCTCTTCTTGCTATGACCCTGTATGCATCAACCCAATGGGGAAGCATTGGGAAACACTTAGAAAAGGACAAGGAGGTTGGTAGGGTCTCCACTGGGATGAGAGCTCATCATTCGTACTATTTAACATCTGCACAATGGAAAATGGGATGGAAACCCAATGTACTCGCTATGCCTGTGCCTGAACCACCTTGATGGGCTTCGCTGAGCAGAGAACACTGCCTCAGAGAAGTGGAGTGGATTTCTAATCTTATCAGGTTACAGCCCTGCAATGTGTTTCCAGCTAGAAAAGAAAGAGCTTTGCATCATCAGTGTAGATAAAGACTAATTATAAATATCTTCCACTGTTATATATTAGGACAAGCCAGTTTTCAAAAAATTAAAGGATGCCTAAGTCCTTACCATGACTGCTACTATTAAAATCAGACCTGCTTTTTGACATTTAAAAAAGCTGAAAGTTTCTATCCTACGTTGTGGAACTAGTCTCATTTGGATGTGTGACAACCAGTGCTCATGGCTAAGAATTTTAGAAAACACTGACTGTTGCATTTTTCTGTCTCATATTCCTGGAATCATTTCCTCCTAACAGCTTCCTCCCTTATCTGAGTGGAGCATCTAGAGTCTGAGCAGGTTTTGAAGACCAGAACCTCCTGCTTATAACACTAGCGCTGCAGCTGGCCACTATTCCTGTGCATGTACAGTGACCTCTAGTGGATGAACGAGGCATTGGAGCTTTGTGACCCAGCCCGCAGTCCTAGCTGGCAGTGAATACTGTTAAAGGCTAACACACCTGGACAGGCAGCACTAGTTTGGGCTGAGATCAATGCCAGGAAAGGAAGAGATGTCGAGCAGCACAGAGCATGATTAAATTAATTTGGATAATTAATTAGTGGTTAGACTTCTTCTGATAGGAAAATTTTAACCAGAAATGACTAGATATTAGACCATCATAGGTTGTCTAGTTTGAATGGATCGATAAATAACTATTGAGAAAGAATGAAACTACAGCTGGCAAAGCAAGTGTTGCTGATTTGGGCTGACGCAGTAACGCTAAAGCTTCAATTCTTCCAAAGCTGAATGAAAAGGCATGAGGAGCACAGTGGGTTTGTTTCAGCACCCAGTAATCCTTGCATTGTGTCTACACAAAATCCTGTTTCCCACTCCGTCTGCCCGTGATTACTGCTTCTGACAAGATCTGCGTGTCTGCGTCTGATAGTAAATATTGCTGTGAAACCTCTGAACTTCAGTTGTCTGTGCTGTTGTGAACAGGCAGTCCTTGGATGGGTAACACATGGTTCTGTTCAGCTGTAGCATCTATAATGTAAATGTGCCTGCGTGATTAAAATGTCTTCAGCCACT